GATGCTGTTGTCAGGTTTCAGATGTTGCTCATGCGAGTCTGTCATCAGTCTCTCCCATCACTCCTCCTGTCGGCTCGGCTGTGCGTTCAGGTCCAGACGTCTGCGGGTTCATGAAGTGTTAAAGCGGAGCTGAAGATGCGTCTGTGGTTGTAGGCCATTCTCCCACAGTTCCCAGCAGCGTCAGAAGCTCTTTGAGAAGAATACAGTCTTCAGCAGCAATTACAGCCCATTTGAGACGTGCCGCACGTCTCTCCATAAATCCTGCCAAACACACAGACGATGATAATAACGTCTCCCGCCGTGCTGCTGGAGAGCAGAGCGCTGTGGTGTGATTTCTAAGCAGTCGTCTCTCTTCTACCTTTTGTTCACTAGGGAGGAAATTGGTGAATTTGCATCAAATAGTGTTTTGCAGCCAGTGGAGTGGCAGGTGCTTTTCTAGCGTCTGAACATGTTTAGCAGGAGGCGTTTTATCTTCCCAGACTGAAGAGATAGAGTTGCTAAACCTGGAAAACCACAGAGATCTATCTAGGACAGAGGTGTGCTGCACAAACGCGCCTCTGCTTTGCAGGAGTGTGTGTGTGTGTGTGTGTGGGCGTATGAGTGTGTGTGTGTGTGTGTGTGTGTGTGTGTGTGCAAACTGGTGGAAAATGCCTGGTTTAAAGACAGATTCTACATGATTCACAAAGACAACAGCACATTTAGCACTCAAGCACAGGTTTCCATCTTCGCATCAAACGTCCTCGTCTTCGCAGCCCGTGTCAGAATATATCAGGCGTGTGTGAATACTCGAGAAGGCCTTAAAAATATTCACCCTGAAATAGCAGAGGAGCTCTTGAGCAAGCATCTCGCTCGTGTGGCGTCTGCAGTTGGATGTGTCTTTCCTGTAATCGACAGCAGGCCAGTTATTTCAGGTTAACCTTTTGATCGTGGAGTGAAACCAATCCAAAGTCTGATGTAGAGGGAAAATACCCACAGTTCAGTTCGGATAACTGTTATATAGATCATAAACAATAGTACTGCACGTGAGATAACGTGAGTTTTTAATTTGTATAAAACATGACGGATTCAAGCTCAAACATTCATCCTGAACAAATGAGAGACTCTTTAAGATCACTAGGACTTGTTCACAAGTTTGTGCATCACACAATTCTGACTTTTTTGCAAGTTTATATCACATCATTCTGATTTCTTTAGCAAGTTTTCATATTGCAATTCTAACTTTTTTTGGCAAGTTTACATCTCACAATTATGACTTTTTCCCTCAGACTTCTAAATTTATATCTTTCAATTCTGACTTTTTTCTTGGAACTCTGGGTTTACAATAAGTATATAAAAATAATAAATAAAAAAAAGTAAATAAAAAGTCTGAATTGTGAGATATAAATTAAGAATTCTGAGAAATTTTTTTTTTTTTCATTCGGTGGTGTAAATAAGCTTCCATACGTCAGTGATGACACTGATTGTGAAGCTCAGTTTAGTCTCAGATGTTTCTGTGTTAATTAGCTGAGCTCATATCTGCGCTCTGTGAGACTCTGCTGTGTTTGACGGGTCAGTCAGAAGTCAAGGCGGCTGGAATCCGAGCGACCCGTCTGACCAGCTCATTAACTGCTTACCGCAGACCATCATGCTTTTGTTCGACCTGACAAGCAGCTTATTTAGCTACACATCATGAGATGTTGAGCCTAACGCGAGGGTTTATTGATCATATTGTGACAGGCGGAGGGTTCGAGCTCTACAGACGCTTCATTAGAGATACTGACGCTTGACCTACTTTCAGCAGGATTCCTGCGTTCCTCTCCATCCCACACTGGCCTGATTTCACATGTCTGGAAACATGAAGAGAGACAGACACACACACACTCACACACACACACACACACACACACAGACACTCACTCACACACACATCAGGATCACACACACACACAGTTCATCATCTGAAGCTGAACATCTGCACAATCATGGAGGATCAGTTGAGAGAATAAGAGGCATCTGTGGATATGAATCTAGTAATCTCTGATATAACGGCTGCAAGTGTGTGTTACAGTTTTTTACAATCATTTTTGCACTAATAACAGAACCTTCATGTCATTTTTCAATACTCTAGACAAAAAGCTCAAAACAGTCATTATTTGTAACACAGGCTGTCAAATGTCAAAAACTTTGCATATCTTTAAAGAAGCCTTGCATTTGCAGAAGCATTGGTTCAAAATACTAATTTATTATGAAATATGATAGGAACATTACTTTAGATCACCCACACACAAGATACCCATAGTTTCACTGTTTAGTTGTTAATACAATCATTAAATATATTTGTTCAAAACCTTGCACCTCCATGTGGAGAGCAATTCCTCAGTCGGGTTACAGTAAGGAAAGGGGAGGTGATAATGTGGATGGGCTTGAAACCATGATTGCACTCAGTGCTGTTGCGAGGAATTCTGGGCCCATTGCACTGATTTTGCTGTGGGGTCCCCACATTCAGGGGGGGGTGATCGGGCCCCCAGCGAACATTGTTCTGGGCCCCTCTCAACCGCTGGGCTCTCAGCCTCTCCTCCATGTCATGGCCAGAGTAAAGCCAGCCTCGTCCAAAAATTATGAATGGCTCTCATCAGCTTCCAGCTCTATCATCCTCTAAAAAGACATTTACAGTATTGTAGGAAAAACAAATACTGATAACAATGATATAGAATTTTGGGGTTTGTTTGTTTCTCCCAACAACAGGCCTCTTGAACCTGATCATACCTGAACATACTCAGTTGCTTCACTTTCATAATCTAAACATTCAATATTGTTCATCATTTCCATAAAGACTATGCTTCAAGAGTAATGCAACAGTTACGTAGCATTTTGAGCAGTTGTATCAGTTGATAGTTAGATCACTGTAATGAAATGAATAGACACTCAGTTCAGATGTAATGTGTGAGTGCATTGTGAAATAGTAATGCTTTGTTGATAAGTTGTGTCATTTTGAACTGATGATTTTAGTTCAGTGAACAACAGATCTTTGGTTCATGTGTATTGTATCCAAGCATTTGGAAAAAGTGTTGTGTTTTGAAAAATGTGCAATCTGATCATCGGTTGTGAATTATGTCTAGAGTTTTGAAAAATGACATGAAGGTTCTGTTATTAGTGCAAAACTGATTGTAAAAAAACTGTAAACAACACCATACGCGTCTGTCATTCAACATCAAACTAAACTCAGACTTCCTCATTTCTCACAACATCTCAGTGATTCACAGAAAATCTCCTGCTAATCTTCATCTGTGCAAGAACAAAGTGTTTATGAGAGCGAATCAAAGCCATGCGTGATAATCTGAACGTCGATCAACAATGAGGCCCACAGTAAGAGCTGAAAGAGAACAAGAACAGGAAACGGTCAGAGGAAGTCGACTTCACCCTCACAAACCCAACCGCCGCGTGAGAGTTTTGTAACCCATGTTAGCAGCGGAGGATTGAGACGAGACAAGTGTTTGTTAACCTCAGATACACGAACAGACCTCAAGTGTTTCAGCTAAAGCTAGTTATAATCACTACTGACTGACACACACACACACACACTCACTCTCACACACACACACACACACACACACACACACACACACACACACACAGACACAGACACATAGACACAGACACACACACACTCACTCTCACACACACACACACACACACACAGACACACAGACACACACACACACACTCACTC